TTGCGATTCTGATTGCTTCTTTAAGATAAACTACACATACGACATCAAAGCTTCCTCTGAAAGAATGATGGGACCCTTAATTGCAATTCAAGTGGGAATCCATAGGTTGCAGGAGCTGCAGAAATGACATGGAGAGTGATCATTGCAACTGGAGAGAGGGAGAACTCAAGGTTATTTGTCTTTTGTCAGACGATGTTCTCCGGCTTAGCCTTTGATGTAGATATCGAACGGAGTCGTGTGACTGTAGTTTTCCTCTACAGCTGAGGACCCTTCTGCCACCCCTTGTGGTTTTTACGGTCTACATCATGGATGTGTGTCCAAGAATGTGATTCCCAAGGGAAAATACAGACTTGGATCGATGATCCTTGAATAACACGGACCCAAATGACAATTGTATTATATTGTGAAGCAATTAAAGTCAACATGAGCTATTGCTTTTTCAATACACATTCCTGGTTTTATTGTGCACAATTTATTGGTTATTCCAACGAATATTTGTTTATTTTTGTAATATTTTAATTAATGTCACCAGTGCATTTTGTTTTACCCACTGCTTATATACTTAGAAGTTGTAAATAAAAGATTATTGGAATACATTTTACAAGAAAATACCATTTCAGTCTTTCTACTTCAAAATTACATGTTTATTTCCATGCATTACTTGCTGTTTCTTTGTAATTGTGAAATTTACTAGCAATTTTTGAGTGAAAATTGTTTGTACACCAATTTTTTCAGTGATGCTTTTTATGTCTTCAGCTCAATACAATTCAACTCCCAGTGGATAAAATCGTGCTTTTTTTTCAATTAATATCCTGTTTTACTGGAATTTATGGCACATTACACAAGTAAAAGAGTTCCAAACATTATTTCACGTTGACTTTAAAAGTAATGAAAATGCCTTTTTCGAGAAAATTAAGCGATTCGTCTCTACAGAGACAATCAAGGCATCTAAGAGAAGGTTAGGACTTAGCAAAAGCCAAAAGATAGCTCATGCTGTCTGATCTGCCAGATTAATGTTGTAAATGGCTTCTCGGTTATTAACAGGCCTTTGGACAGTGAACAACGGTACTGCGCTGATCCAATCTCTCCTGCTGCACACGGGCTCCTGTAACTCCCGCGATACCTCGACTGACGGATGAGTGATGAAACAGATGATTTATTCCCTGAACCCTGTAATACTTCACACACTGGATGGATGTATCCTGATTTTTTTCACTTTCTGAAACACTGTCAGGCCATCCAGCAAGGGATAAATAACATTGAGGGATAAGGCTGTGTTTGTTTGCTCTGTGAAGGACTAATGGCGTAAATTGTGTATACACACACACAATTAAGGCACAAAACGACATCTGCCTCACAGTCCTATTGCGTGAGTCAAGGCCATTTGGAGTAAAGAGAACAATCTCGGTCTCTCTGAGTGACTTGAATTCTGGCTCTTTTAATATATACGGCCAATGACTGTAAACGATAGTAGCTACTGTGAAATTACATGAATATTTGAGCTCATCCTCCAGTGACGGAGGTGGGCGTGTTCACCCACTGCAAGCCAATTCAGGAGCCTTAACATCTGCAGAGAGCAACGGTACACCTATGATTAATTTACCATCTGGGCCAGTTAGGAACCCTATCATTTCATGCTGGAAAAAGCATTTTGGTTGCATCCCATCATATGCTGGATATGAACTAATATTTATAATAATAATAATAATTTAGCCATTTTAACGGTGTATTTTGTATATATGTATACACTACCATTCAAAAGTTTAGTCAGTAAGAATTTTTAATATTTTTGAAAGAAGGCTCAACAAGGCTGCATTTATTTGATTAAATCGTAAAAGAACAGTAAAAAAACAGTAATGTTGTGAAATATTATTACAATTTAAAATTGCTGTTTTCTATGTGAATATATTGTAAAACATTTTATTTCTGTGACGTAAAGCTGAATTTTCAGAATCATTACTCCAGTCTTCAGTGTCACATGAGTCTTCAGAAATCGTTTTAATATGCTGATTTGCTGCTCAAGAAACATTTCTTATTATTAATGTTGAAAACAGTTGTGCAGCTTAATTTTTCAGGATTCTTTGAATATAAAGTTCGAAAGAACATTATTTTTTTGAAACAATTTTTTTGTGACAATTTAGAAGTTTTTAATGCCACTTTTGATCAGTTCAATGCATCCTTCTATGTACAGGATATATCCTAAATATATACAAATTTACTGACCCCGAACTTTTGAATGATAGTGTATATGTATGTATAATATAAACCCACTGATTATATTTTTAAAGCAATAAGCCATAATAAATTCCTTTAAGCATGATGAGTAACTAATCTTTGATTGATATTATTAATATTATTAATTTAATAATTAAAATTGAATTTCAAATTTTATTCCACCATGTAAAATAGTTGACTGACTTGTGTTATATTAATATAGAATTAATTTGAAGTATTTTCCAGTTCTGAACATGGCCAACTCAGTCAGATCTGTTTTTATAAACATCTATCGATCAGTTCTGGTTGTTTTTAGGCCTTTCAGTCAATCTAGCTTTTAGTAGCTCTCAAGCATGAGTCATGCTCCATTGTCCAGAGCAAGATGTTCAAACCATTCAAGCCCACGCCCAACCGATTACCTCTGCCTCCTTTTTCTTCCCAGAATACATCTGGCAAATAGTTGAAATTAGCCTCACATTCCCCTTTCTCTGTTTTCTCGCCGAACAAAGTGCCGTGTTCTGCCATGAGCCGCAGGTGGAGGGTTCACTCCTTTTGTTCCGCTGCGCGCCGTGCCATTCAAACCATCGCTGTGATCTGCATCTCCACAGCCGCTTTGAAAGACTATTTTAAACCCCCCGGTCTCCCACCCGCCCCTCCTGACGTGACTCTGACTCTATAATAACGCTGCATATCTTCTTATTGTGTTTCTGCAATTTTCATGATATTGTGCCGTCTGTCTCCAGACAGCCAACCAACCACGCTTCTTTCGCTAATTCCGTCCCCTTGTTTAGTCACATGGATGCATTTTATGTGCCTTCGGTGTGAGATGTTACTCAGACTGTAAATGAAGCCCTTGATGCTTTGTGCTGGGGGCCGTGGCTTTCAACATGCCCACAGGCTTCAGTGGATGAGTCAAACTACTCGTATGATAATGAATTGTGCATTAGGGGCTTATTGCAAAAAGGGAAAATAGAGGTGAGCTTTAATTTGATAGCTGTTTTCATACTTTTTGTGTACATGCAGTCATGATGAATGCATTAAGTTATTGGCCCAGTTAATAGAGAGAGCAAGAGCTTGAAATATGAAGTTATAGTTGCACTTTTTTGTGTGTAAGCACATGGGCAAATTAAGCCATGCAAAATGCAAATTAATGTCTCTTTTTCACGGAAACCTCTCTCTTTATAAGTTTTGTGTTTACACCGACGAACTACTTATGCTAATAAAGTAGCAGCTTGGGAAATGCAAAACACAGAGGCTTCGTTACCTTTCCTCTGACAGCATGCTTTCCATCTCGTTGCAACACAGTTCAACGGTCCCTATGGGACATGCAGAGTGAATGGATGCTGCACACATATCGGTTCCCTTCATTGGAAAAAGCGCTAGTAATGTAAACACAGCCTATTAGGTGATACTCCAGAGTTGTTTGTGGGCGTCAGAGAGTGTACCAGGGGAATTTAGTGTATTGTACTGTATATATTGTGTGTGAATATTGTGTTTTTTTTGTACTTTTCACCTTCTTACTGTCAGTCGCTGTCTTCTTGGCCTCCTTTGTTATCAGATTGCTTCTAAAGAGAGCACAATCTTTGATTTTATTTGGGAGAATTGTGTTGGTTAAATGTTCCATAAATAATGATGCATGACAGAACATTTGACATCTTAATTAATTACTGTAAGCCCAGAAATCACAAGCTTTTTTAGGGCAATTTTCTGCTTGCTTTGCTCATTTTGGGACACCATGAGAGCGTGTTTAGAAAGTTAAACTAAGTGCCTCTCTTATAGGAAAATATTAAATGTGGCTTACTAATGAGACAGTAAGTACGGTACCAAAATATGACAAGATAACTAAATTTATAATTGTATTTGTTGCACACTTTAGCATGTTTTTTTCACTAAGAAAAAAAAAAGTGCACATTTTTTACTAGCACGTACAAGAAAGGATTGGGCAGATTAAATTTAGACCGATTCATATCCCCAAGAGTCCCAAGAGGTTTGACATACTCTTTAAAGAAATTAATTTACTTAATTTGGAAATTCATTTCGGGGTGCCTCTATTATAACCACTCATTTTCTACAAATCTATTTATACTAGAATGAATCTCATGAAGTCTGTCAAGAACAAATCCAGGTCATATTTCACCCCAAAATCAGATTTTGCTCTGTAAAAATTAAGCCTATTTTACGCCAATATTTATTATAATAGGTAAAGCATTTCTACATCATTGTACTGCTTTTTGTTTAGTTAAAATACATATTTAGTTTATTATATAGTAAAAAAAATACTATATTACAGTAATGAGAATCACAATTGAGAATAATAGCTTCTGACACCATCTGGTAATTTGGGGGACAATGTGCTATTGGTCTTATTATTTGTTTTGTATTTTTTTCCTTTTGATTTTGATCACATAAAAGATATGAAATGTGAAGATTTGATAAAACCTCTTCATAGAGCACATTTTGAGAGATTCTGAAACATTTCAGTGAGTAGAAACTAAAATATCTCAGAAAACAACACATGAAGCAAGCTGATGCATTGCATGTATCTTGCCTCATTTTATTTTCCCTATTTGATTTGGTACTCTGACAACTGGCTGATCTGGGGAGTGTGTGTAGTTTACTGCCCCTCTGCATTTATATGAATACTACTCGAACTATCATAAACCCAATACATTTCTGTAGGGCAGTGTAGTCAACACAGCCTGCCCAGTCAGTGCATTATTTATTCCGCACTACTCTGTGAAAGGCAGAGCACTAGTAAACAGAGTCTGTGTTGTTTGTTGTGCCAGGTGTGTGATGGGTCCCCAGAGCACCTAGAAGCAGAGGAAGGAGCCGCTCCAGGCTTGGAGCTCTTCCAAGTGCGCAGACGTTCCAGTCGGAACCTGCAACTGCCCCCGTTGGTCTTCCGGCAAGCTGAGCAACATGACTGGAACAGCAAAGAGACTGAGCCGATCGCCCGTCCCACCACCCTGGCACTGCGCACGCCCCCACTCATCGCCATCACATCTGCTGACGCCGGCAGGTGAGCAAAACAGCCTTTTGTGTGGATGCATAAAATCTGGACATTATCAGTGACCGCATCGGTCATATTGTGCTGTTTTCAAGATGTAAGTGGAATGCGGATGAGTTTGGATGATGCAATTACTACTTGAAATGTGTTCAAATATATTTTAATACTTCTTTCTTTGTACACTTACTGACAGAGATGAGTTTTAAGAACAAAAGATGCACATGCTGCCGTAGAGGATGATGCAAAATAGTTTTGTTGCACATGCTTGTCTTAATTAGTACTATTAAGGTGCAAAAAGGTGTGTTTCGGAGCTGTAATTTCAATGTGCCCACGTTATTTTTTCTTTGTAACTTATTCTACTAACTGTAAACTAACCTAACAGTCTACCAGTACTCGAATGAGAGTTAGTTGTAGTTGCAAAGTTACTTATGGTCAATAGAATTTCTAAAGGGGACTAAAAATTAATTTTCTTCAACAGTACACAAAATGCATGCAAAATAAATTTAGACAACAATCTCAATTGCCACTAAATTATGATAAATTCTGATTTACTTTCCCATAATACTTAAATTGACTTCCCCAAACTGGAAAGTTGGCGCTCAAAGAAAATCCCACATTTCCCAAAACATTTTTACTAATGTTTTTCCACTATAATTTTTCTGTGACAGGTTAAAAAAAGTACTAAACCGTTTCTCCTGCAGCATGTAAATTCTGATTGCAGTGTTTTTATTCTAGCTATATGTTTTTTTAGAATCGGCAATTATATTGGCTGTCCGTCATATCATAAAAATAATTGTTATGGTTGTAAATCGTTTCATATCTAGTGCACCACGTTTTTTTTTTTTTCAACCCACAAGGTCATTTGTGAAGAAAACATTGTGGGAGTCTTTGTAAAAATACTACTAATATTTCTCAGCAGTGGCGTTTCAGCATTGCCAATGATAGAAATGTAAGAATGAAGTGAGCATGGCGATAAAATTGACTGCTTAGGCAAAGATTGGCTTCACTATTAGCTCCTCAAAGCCTGTTTAGAGTGAGAAGTTCTTTGGTGGGAGGGCTAGATTAGAACGCACTTTGACATTTTGTCCAGTGTTACCCTATCGCTGTTTTTCTGTCACTTATCATCCATGCAGCCTGTTCCTTCTTTGATGGACTCTTTAAAGAGGCACAGCTGAAGGGTGTCTCTCCAGGGCTGCAAGCAGATGGATGAAAGAGAATTTGTGGCTTAAGATCAGTTTCTTATAAGGTATCTACAGCAATATACAATGGCTTTTATCCGTGAATTTTCTTGTGTCTAACATTTTGTAGTCCTCACTGTTAGGCGATACTATTTCACACTTGATTTTCACATTTACTGAAGACAACATGAGTGTTGTTTGCCTGCGCAGAACTTTGTGGGTGGTTGCTTACAGGCAAAAATGCCTACTCCCAATATTCAGGGTATAAGGTTGCATTGGTGTTTTTATAGTCTTACTTTAACTTGGATGTAAAGTTTACACAATGGGCCTTAGTAGCTTAATGGCATGGCTTAGCTAAGTAGGTTGTACAGGTAAGTTCTTCATAATGTGTAGCAGAATATGTTTACTTGTATTTTAAACAATAAGAAGCCTTCAAATTTGTAAGCAATATTCAGAAGCTGTATTATTATCAGAGATACATTCATATAAAAACACCTGCGCTGCATTTTGACTTTGAAATGTGCAGCGCTCATATTTATTCAATGAAATCATAGCCTTTTGAAGTTTCACGATTCTTGTCTTTCCCTCCCCAAATGTAAGACCTCTTGAAATTATAATTAAGACTTTTCTTATAACATTCAAGGTATTTAAAACTTTTTATGTCCTTAAATTTAAGTACCCGTGGTAGCCCTGTATTTAAGAGAGCCCAGTGTACATTTTGGTAGCCCGACTGGAAGACACAATAGCCCCAGGACGTCGGACTAGCGGCAAGCCCTGGTTGCATTTCAGCTGTGATGCTTAGGCATTTTTAGATGTTGATAAGACTGTGAAGTCTCACATACAGTACTACTGTACAGAGTTTTATCAAGCCAATGTTGCATCAGCATCATGAATATTTCAGCTGTGGTGACTTCATGTTTGTAGTGCAAGTTCTTGCATTTTAAAGATTCTACATATTTTGAGTAGGTTTAACAAACAACTGACATTCTACATGAGCTGGCAGCATAAATGCATGCATGTCTCAAATATGGCCTTATTCTATAACACAGAAATCAGTGGCACCCCGCCATTCACAATCAATTTCCCCCTGTGGCTATTCATTGAAAAGCTGCGTCATCTTGGAGCTACTTTTAGGCCAAACTAGTTGAATGTACTGAAAACTGATGTAGTGTTTTAGTGTGGCAGGATTCAATCAAACCTTATTGACTGGGTACAATCTCCTTCCATTAACGTCTAATAGTTTACAAGGTTAGATGAAAAGATGGAAATGCTGCTTAGAATCAAGGACAGATTTATTTTTTCAAAAAAGGGCTTCTCTTACGTTCCCCCGCAGAGAAAACACTGTTAGACCTCTTCACATTGTTGGGCATGAGAAAGTAATTTCCTGTCAGGTTCTGAATCACAGACATCCAGTTTAAATGACAAAATGATCATAAGTCATAAAAATCACTATGACTGTTTAAATCAGCTTCAACACTGATACTGCTGAACTGTGTGCTTTTATGTCTAAAAAGCATTACATTAAGTATCCTAAATACCTGCCATTATGACTGACCTTAAAGGGATAGTTCACCCAAAAATGAAAATTACCCCATTATTTACTCACCCTCAAGCCATCCTAGGTGTATATGACATTCTTCTTTCAGACGAATATAATTGGAGTTAAATTAAATAATATCCAGGCTAATCCATGCTTTATAATGGAAGTAGATGGTAGCCCAAAATTTGTGCAAAATATTGCACCCATCCATTATAAAAGAAGTCCACACTGCTCCGGGGGGTTAATAAAGGCCTTCTGAAGCGATGCGATGCATTTGTGTTAGAAAAATATCCATAATTACAAATTTATAAACCTTAATCTCTAGCTTCTGCTAACTGTTGTACGCTCTTTCACGAGAGAGTGGCGTCCAGTGGATAACGTAGGACGTAGGCATAGCATAAAGGCCTGTTCACACCAAGCACGATAACTATAAAGATAACGATAAAGATATAGTTCTAAAAATCATTCTCAATATTAAAGAATAGCATAGTTCACACCACAACTATAACGATAACGATACAGAGGAACGATATCGTTGTGATCACTTTCAAAACGATTTTTTCCCAGCTGATGAACGAAAAAACACTGACAGCCAATCAGAATCCATCCTGCTGTATTGAGCTCAAGAATTTAAAGCGGCAGACGCATGTGCGTTTAGAACAAACAGACGATATCGTTCACTAGTGTGGACGCTAATATCGTTATCTTTATAGTTATCTTTATAGTTATCGTTCTTGGTGTGAACGAGGCTTAAGGCTTGTTCGAGATGTATTGGCGCTGCGCAGACCGATCGGTGTATGACATCAAAGTACCGCGAGTGTGATTAGAGAGCTGACGACTCTTTACGCTTTTGAATCACTCTCGCGGTACTTTTATGTCATACGCCGATCGGTCTGCGCAGTGCCGATGAATCTCGAACAAGCCTATAAGCTCCGGTGAGAATATGCTAGTCTCACGAGAAACAAGTTTTGTTTACAGCAAAGGAAAACCAGTGTCCTCTTGGCTTATATCGAAATCCTCCGGCATTTTTCTTTACAAATCCTTGTTTTTTACTACTAATTTGTGACCGGTGTTCTGTTTTGCTCTCTCCTCTGCACTTCCACGTTCGTCACTTCCGCGTTCGTCACCACGTTTGCGGTCATCCGCTGGATGTCACTCTCTCATGAAAGAGAGTACAACAGTTAGTGGAAGCTAGAGGTTTATAAAGTTGTAAATATGGATATTTTTCTTACACAAACGCATCGCGTTGCTTCAGAAGGCCTTTATTAACCTCCCGGAGCCATGTGGACTTCCGACTACCATCCACTCCCATTATAAAGCATGGATTAGCCTGGATATTATTTAATATAACTCCAATTGTATTCGTCTGAAAGAAGAATGTCATATACACCTAGGATGGATTGAGGGTGAGTAAATCATGGGGTAATTTTCATTTTTGGGTGAACTATCCCTTTAATAGATTTTTTTTGGGGGGTTCTAACTTCTAGATACAGCTTGGCATATCCAAAGTCAGAAAAGGTTCATACGTTCATATGAAAATAGGAATTTGTCTCTTTCTGAAGCCATACTGTGCTGGAGTGGCAATATCAGCAGCCTGAATCAGCTGTGGACCGGAATACAATTTTTATGTGTCTGGTGAGTCATATTCTGCCCCTTGATATGTGAATACATCTGGGATTCGTTTAGAAGTTTGTGCATGCTTTGGCATGTAATAAATAGATAATGCGTCACGCTCAATGTAAAGCATAAAAAAATTATTTTCTCAATTTTATTCTATGCGTTGTGTGACATAAACCATTGCTCTGCATTTGCATGTTCTCCAATTACACACATTATTCATGGTTTTGTTCAGTATTAGGGATGTGCAGAAATTGAATGAGTAAGCTGTCGATCTTAGACAGCCATGTAGTTGGTTTAGGGTCATGTTCACCTGCCTCCTGACCTCACTAACTCACTAGTTGGTGGTTTGGTGACACTAGACACATTTGTACTGGTCTACACCACCCCATAAACATGAAATTCCAGAGACACGTCTTTGGTGAGTTCAAAGAAAAAGGTCAGTTTATGAATCTTTGACCTGATGCACAACATTATTTACCACAAACCACAAAACATTTGTTTGGATTATCAGTATCATTGACAATACCCATACCTAGTGGCATCAAATTTAATGTAGCTTTTTTTATTCCCTTGAAAGGTTTACTTGTCTGACTCACATATGCAGATTCATACCTGCAAAAAATGATTTCCATTTTCTGTCTTCCCAAGCTCACAGAGCACAAACCGCACGCAAACGTTAAACCAATAGCCACTTTGATTTGCTCTACCAGACCTACATCCATTATTCAGTTCAATCATGGAACGTACCAACTTATGAAAATCAGTCAGCCTACGGTAAATTTTAATTTGCTAGGAAAATTTGGTTTGAAGCACCCACCCACAAAGTTGGTGTAAAACATGGGTTAATAGCGGCATGAAATAGCAGCCTTCTTTTCTGTTTTTATATATTTTCTATTGAAATAGAAAGTTGGGATGAGACACATTGATTATATTTGTATAGTCTAAAAAACATGAGCAAATACTCTTGATTTTTTTTTATAAGTGCTATTGCTAGTCAGAGGCAGGTGGTATTTATAGACCTTATGTAGCTCCGCCCCTTTTCAGCTCTGCGCTCGTTGTCTTCTGTCTTCCGTTTGTATTTCCACAGCATTTATTGAATAAACGGAAGAATTTATGAATAAACGGCTCGTTTTAAAATCTTTATGACATCCACTCTGAACATTACAATGCACATGATAACTTTCGTTAACTCTACAATAAATAAATCCACTTCACCATCTAATTATTCTTCAACAGTGATGCTAGAGCTACCGCAAAAACGGAAGTTCAAAGACAGCGTTTTAAAGATGGCTGCGCACTTGTTTCTCTGACCATTAGATGTATAATTAAAGAGAAGTATATGTTCTCATTCTAGAAACCATTTTATTGGACAAAAACGTTACTATGCATAAGTTAAGATGAGTCATCAATATTTTTGGTTTGAAATTTTAAATGTGTAGGCTGTATATTTTATCCACTTTTAGGCCTATGATATAGGCGACCCCAAAGCTAATTAATAGCTTTCAAAGTGTTTTCCCTGAAATTTTTATTTATTTATCGCTATATGTTTGTTAAATGAACTTCAGGTGGAATCGTCTAGTTATTGCCTTACTTCGATATACTTGTAGTTGTATGTGTATGATATTTTCTGTATTCTTTACGTCAATTATTATTATTATTTTTTGCTTTGCTTTACCTCATTTATTGTGGTTCTTCATCTTCTTAGGTGAAATTGTGACGTGCTGAATTATAAAGGCATCTTATCCTGAGTCGCTTTTCCTCAAGTCAGTTTGACAGTTTAAAATAACGGTCATTCCTGCTGAGCGGGAAAGTGACCGGCAGCATCAGTGTGGAGATGATGCGCGCACTCCTCCTGAACATTTGCGGAGGCAGCAGCCGCCCGCTTCACCGTCTCTAGCGCAGAAACTCTCAGCACACATCAGTGAGAGGAGAGCGAGAGGGGGAGACAGCGGGATATTCTCACACACACTGACAGATAGCTTACCTGAAAGCACCGGGGAAAAATGGACAGAACCTACGCAGTGGATACGGGTCACCGACCGGGTCTGAAGAAATCGCGGATGTCGTGGCCGTCGTCTTTTCAGGGATTTAGACGGTAAGATATGTCCTCTTCGTTTTTGAGGGATAGATGGGTGTGTGAAGAGGCTTTTGCGAAGTGCACTTTCTTTGTGTAGATCAGTTCATCTCCGAAGGAAATTGGTCTGTTTGGCTTAGAATGAACTTGAAAGTCAATGGAGTTCATTGAAAGTAATAGTGACTTGAAGCGCGTGTAGTTTCTTTGTTATGCACGAGACTTCTCGCGCCTGGGATTGTTTTATACATATAATTATTTCATTATTGGTATATAATTAGAGTACAGATTTAATCTCAAATAAAAAACGACAGCTAGTATAGTTTTTTTTTTATTGTCATCATTTTTTAAAGTTCCTGTCTTTCTTTAGAGTGTCTGGCGACGATTTTTTTTTTGTATTGCGCAAATATTTGCAAACGTATTGCATCACTGTTTACTCGTACTTCGGTCTGTTTATTTATTTGATTTGATTGATTGTGCTCTATAAAACTGGAATGTGTGAGTGGCATAAAGGGGTTATATGGGGTTTATGTCAGTATAATCTGATGTATATGCATAATCTGGCTAATTATATGCAATCTAGATATTGCTTGGACGGAACCAGTGCAAATTCACATGTGCTTTCAGGTAGAATTATCTAACGCGGGTGGCAAGTGTGTTTGCAAATGGAGTTTATGGGTGTTTAAAGGTCCCATATTGTCAAAACTGAAATTTCCTGGCTAGCTGTCGTCGGTTTTTTTGTCTGGCAGTGGCAGCAGATATGCGATCAAATTTCTAATTTGAGGCTGTATTACGTCGATTCTGGCACCCAACATCACAACAAGATGATATTTTAAGCTCCTTATGTAGCCGAATCTGCACTGGTTTGAATGGGCCGCCTACAGTTTCCCCTTTGTTTTGCTGCCTCAAGCTAGCGCTGTGATGTCGGCTGACCCTAGTTACCTGTGGTTGCCCTGGCCGTGCGTCACTCAGAAAACAACAGGCCAATCAGAAGAGAGGCTCATGAATATTAATTAGACGGGCCAAAATCGACCTGTTCTCAGCAGAGCTCCTGAGAGAGGAGCTGTAAAAATATATTGAGATGGTTTTTGGTACTTATACCGCAAATATATATTCTTAAGGACATCAAAACCTAAAATAAAACTCCAGAAAGGTGTAAAATATGTGACCTTTAAGCAGTTAACATGTGGTTGTTTGAGTTTGACTGATATGTTTTTTTTAACAACCAAATATGCAGATTTTTAGTCTTTGAGTGTTGATAACCATAATAAAGTTTTTATTATTTGTTATATTAGTTATGAATTAATACACAATACACAATAGTACCTAAAAAGACCATTAGACTACAAAAATATAACATAATATGCATTATGAATATATGATTAATATTCATAAGCATTATTATAATTTTGACATAATATTTAAAGTTATTTGGCAGTCTGAATGGTGTCTAAATTCATTAGACTACACCAATCAATAGGCAAGTTTATATTCCAGTGATGCCAGCAGTCATTGACAGTCTCAGAGTTGCATTTTGTGGCACTGTTCTGCTTTGCTGATCATAAATCATAGTTGTTGTTCCACCTTGAATTGTGCTCAAGAGGACAAACCTCTCCACTTACAGACATAATTAATGTGCCAAAGTGTCTTTCTCCCCTAACCTCTAACCACGTCCTCTCATTCCCATACATGGATGAAGAAAAATGCATGGCAAGTGTTAATTGCCTACTCAGTTGCCATTGGTACAATCTTCTTGATTTTTCTGTCACTGATTACACAGTAGTGCTGACTCAAGATGTGTTTTTTTCTCTCTGGAGTTTGTTTCAACATATCTTGATGAACTCAGTAGGGGGTCATGCAGAGGTTGATTTTTGATCTTAAGTATAGAGAACACTTTGTCCTATGGGGTTTTTGGGCAGGCTGCCCTCATCTCCCAGTATATTGCTCGTAAGGAGTGATGACAGTGTTGAGTTTCATACCCTGAGTGCAGCCCAGAGAGCTCATTGCTGGGCTAATCCAGAGGGATAGATGGATGGATAGGCAATTCTTTAGACCGTAGAACAAGACACAACTCCCAAGGAGTTGACCGCTGACACTGTCTGTCACCCATTGGTTTGGATTTTGTACAGTTTGGTAAAATTTGTGACATGTTAAATGCACTTCTTGTCTGGAGGGTAATTGCTGTCAAAAAGTCGGTTGTGCTCAGGAGTTAAAAGGCTGTTACTCTTGCATTAGAGAGTGCATTTGATACCGCAGCCTAATTAAGCGTCAACCAGTGTGGCAATCGTTTTTCATAGGCTTGTGCTGGGGTTGTTTGTTGTATTTAGGGGGTTTGTCAGATTCATAAGCTCGAGTTGTCATCCTCATTAGGGTGTATGACCCTGTGACCGGTATACCCCAGCCACTTACGTTACCTCCTAGCTATGAAATGAAACCTTA